GTTGTTGTTGTTTATTTTTAATATTTATTTTATGTGAATGGATGTTTTGACTGCATATATGTATACGAACCATGTGTGTACCTGGTGCCCCCCAAAAGTCTGAAGAGGGCTGTAGGATCTCCCAGAACTGGAGTCTGGATGGTTATGAGACACCATATAGTTGCTGGGAATCAAACCCAGGTCCACTGAAAGAATAGCTAGTGCTCCTAACTGCTGAACCATCTCTCCAACCCTAGACCTTTTTCTTTTAAGCTCTAATAAATTGTCCTTGAGCTTCTGTTTGAGTCTTAAATTCTTTTACTAATGAGACTAAGAATTCTAAGAGGAGACCCTGATTTCCATGCTATTATCTGATAACCACAATGGGATTCCTCAAAATTCTCATAAGAAGTAGGGATTGAACTCAGATCATCAAGCTTGTCAGCAAGAACCCTTCCTAAATGCAAAGATAGTCTTATTCATATAAATCTAGCAGTAGTTGTAACCTTTGTGCTTTAGCTTTCTTCATTGCTTCTCTTTTAGCATTGTTGGAATGATATATACTAAATGATAACAACTTCACAATTTTAATTCATTTTCCATTGGATTCTTATTATAATTGTTCTTTTGTATTTTGCCACATTCTTAATATGGAACCATCAGTATGTTGGCTTTTTGACAGTTTGAGGTATATCATTTCTAAACTTAAAAGTTAAATTGATGAATACAACTGTCTTCTAAGACCTGATGGCCCTAGAGATGCCAACAACATCCCCTACCCTCCAAAACAATTTCTTTTGCTAAGGTGCAAAAGAAATTCTGGCTCACAATCAATAGGAATAGCAATTTCAGACTAAACTCCTTTTGCTGCAGGGATTTTAGCTAATCACTACCACAAGGGGTCCTCTCTGACAGATAGGTAGAAGAGGGAGAGAGTTCACAGTCTTTCTTAGGCAGGGACCACACTCTTCAATGGCATAGAAATAGTTACAAAAGATGCAGCACCATCCTTCAAATCCCACCCCCTAAAGTCCCAGGGACTGCAGTTCTCAGAGGAGAGTTGAGGCAGGAGAAAGGGAAAAGAAGAAGGTATGGAAGACCTTACAAAATTAGTATATGAAAAAAACAATCTGACAAGGAGGAAGGGTGGAAACTTCCTGCCTGGGACTTATTAAAATGGTTGGTACCACTGAAACAAGCACAGAGGCACTACAGGGTAATCCATGGTTCCTTATAATACTCAAATATACCTATGGACAGAGATTTAAAAATTTCCTGAGACATGAAGTTGTATGTAGAACTATAGTTCAGATCATGTGTAGAAAAGCCTGCACTATACAAATGAATGAAAAAGCTCACACTATGTAAGTGTGTCAAATAGTCCTCCTTAATTAAGGTCACAAGAAAGCCCCAACTATGTATAGCAGGACCATTTGAACTACTAAGCATTTTCTTTCTTCTGGCCCACTTCTCCTTTCTAAATGTACTCTCTCTTAATAAACTCTCTCTCCTACAGTGGTGTGTCTCTGCTCAAATCTTCATTCTGTAACACAAACAAGCATCTGGAAGCCCTCCAGAGGTGTCCCCCATCCCACTATCAGCCAATATTATAACATCAAGGAAGTGAATGCCAGTGACAACTTGAATGATCTTGCAGGAGTTTTCTCAGCCAAGGCTCAGTCCTGCCATGCTTTGACTTTGGCTCTGAATCAGAGAATCCAACTGAGCCTACCAAATTTCTGACTTATTGTACTTGAAGCCAATAATATCCTTTTAAGGCAAGAAATTTGAGGTTCCTTGTTATAACAGCCTTCATAGGCTATGAGAGGCGAGCAAATAAAGTCATTTAATTTGGAGCTTTCTTTTGTCGAGTACCCAAACCAACTTGTCATTTGATAACAAAGAAGTTAGAAACTAGGATGTCAAGCCCTTGAGTTCCACAGGGTTGATTTCCAAGCTCTATCTAGTGTGTCCTAAGATGCACACAAGTTCCTTGGGTTAAAGTAAAAATGCAGACTTGGTTTTAGTGGGGCTGGGTGATACCTGGGAATCTACCTTTCCATTAAGTTCTCTTCTGACTTCCAGGCTTCTGAGCCACCAGAGTTAAGTGTGACCTCCTATGAGAGGAGCAAATAAGGTCTTCCATGATGGACCCTGCCATGACCCTGATTTATTATCCAGTTAAGCCCAATCCTTCAGAACAGAAACCATATTTCTGTCATGTGCCTAGTCTTAGTGTCTGAAAGTTCTAATAAAGTAACAGGCATTTAATAAATATCTTTCAAGTGGCTGAATAAATTCAATTCACTTCAGAGGTTTAGAAAACAACAGCAGCAACAACAACAAAACAGCAACAAGGGAAATCAAAGAGCCAAAGGAGCAACTTTAAAATGAAAAGAAAAAGCTGAGGCTTAGATCTTTAATCCCAGCACTCAGAAGGAAGATCTCCCTTAGTTTGAGGCCAGCCTGGTCTACATAGTGAGTTCCAGGCTAGCCAGGGCTATGTAGAGAGACTATGTTTAAAAAAGAAAAAAAGAAAGGAAGAAAGGAAGAAAGAAAAAAAATTAAAAAATGGGAGTGGAGCGAGAAGAAAGTCACTTCAGCAGTTGTTTTAAGTTAAAAATTTAGGTGGCTAAAGTATCAGATTTCAGCCAGGGGGAGGTTCCAGGGACAAATTAATCCATCTTGCTCACAAAGTTTTCTGTCAATGCAACTCTGAACAGCTGTTTGAGCACGCGCACACACACACACACATACACACACTTTTCCTTTCCTCTATACTCCATTAGCACATCCGTTCGTGCACTGGCCTTGCTGGTATGATAAAAGCAGGAGTCATTCCCTGAGCTGACCAGAGGGGCCTCATCCATGAGTGGTCTTCTGGAAAACTTGAGGAAGGAAGTGGATGATGTGTCAGCACGTCTGGCCAACAGAAATCCCAGCTGTGTCTGGTCTGGCATGAAAGCCTCTCTCTAATGGAATGAGAAGCTACTAACCCTTGGTCCAGGCAGCTTGCTTCCAGCTGAGCTTGGTTTTGTTTTGGTTGCAAAGTCGCCAAGACCTCTAGAGAAACAAAACAACTGTGTTTTTAGGTCTTGTTTTGTTCTGATGAGTTCAACTTGCCAGAAACACAAAGTTGGAGTCTGCCCACAATATTCGTAAGCTTTCCTCACAGGGCCAAAAGTTTCAGCCAACTGCTCCTAGCTTGTAAGCTATGAGACTGTTTACAGCTTGGGCTTCTAGTAAGAAAAACTGTCTTTATTGTAGAAAATGTCTTTCCTTCCTGTATCATATCACTATCTTTTCCTCTAGACAACTATTTAGAAAACCAGGTCAAGAGAACTGCCCTTTCTAGAAGAGGACAAATATCTGGATTTCCCCTACCTCTAATTCAAGTTTCATGACACTACCAAGCAGGGAAACCACAAGAACCTAGAGTTTCATCCACAATGAGAGACCCACTGATCTCTCGGGTTGCTCATAGTCATTGAATACTCCTGGGCACCCTGTTAGTCATTCTCTGGACCAAGAAAGTCAGATGAGGAAGATGTATAGAAAATCATTTATTCATGAGGATTGAGTCTTAGAAGGATTTTTGGGGAACCACACTGGAATTCGGCCTTTTTCCATCCTAACAGTAATCTTGAATGCTTTTGAAAGGCCAGCAGAGAACTGACTCTGACCTCATTTGAAACTTGTGAGGAGGAGGTCAAGGGAAGTTGTGACACACACCCAGTTCCAGGCAACCAAACCAGGCCATAAGAACATAGAAGAAGTAGCCAGCCAAGTCACAGTCATCTTGTAGTGGCCAGCAACCCAGAACTGACCTGTCCAGGGTGCCAAGTCATTTACCCCACCTGGAGAAAGGGCTCCTGTAGCCTCTTAGCATGTATGAGATGCCAGAACCAACACTTAAGACAACTACATGGAAATATTTGACAGCACATTCATCACTAAGTCTAACAGCAAGTGCAATGCTCCCGTGGCAAGAAGCTAATTAGTAAACAGAGGGGATGTAAGAGGGGGAAAGAGACCCTTTAATTCTCCAGTTCTCATTTGTTGACACCCAGGAATTTCCATGTAATTTGCCCAGGACATTTGAGAAATATCACACTTGGGATTGTTAAAACTGGATAATTACTTGTGCCTTATGTCTAATTCCTTTGTGGCCTATATGTATAAGGATTCCTTGATGAATATTTTTTCTCTACTGACACTCCTTTCTCTACCTGCCAGCCAGTGAGATGTACAAAGAAGTCTCTAGTTCAAGGATGGAATTCTGTGGAAAAGAAAACTAACCATCTCAGTATGTACTGTCCCCAATAGCTAAACTCATTTGTAGATGAAGCAGTCTCAAAATCCCCAAATTATATGTGGCTATTGCTGGGACACTTGGGTGTATGTTTCTCCTACTAGTCACATTTGACTCTCTTCTAGTGTGTTCTGTCTTCTGCTCAATCAACAACCCTGATAACTTTGCTTTGGCTCAGCTTCAAGTCCTTTTCTCTGGTAGATGTCAAGCACCTGGACACACCCCAAGACTTGATGGGGACTCCCAGGGCCGCACTGCCAGCAAAGTTGACTTGTACCTTTTGCTGCTGTTAACATTTCAGCCATCAGGTCTTTCAGTAAGCAATGCTTCCTGAAACCAATGAAGGCACTTCGTTTAATTATTTTTCTGCAGGTGCTTGAATGCAGAAAGAGCGGCAATGTGAAACATTGAGAGTGAAGATGTTTTGACTCATGTGGAACTATCTGGATGGAATAGATAGTTCCTCATCTTGGTAACCAGCTATTCCTGGCCTGTCAATTTCTCATCATCTGGCCTTAGGTGACTCATTTAAGACTCTCAATTTTCAGCTTCTAACCTATTTAAACCAGAGTTTATAGCAGCAACCTAAAAGGTTGTGGTTGAGAGGACAATGAGGGAAGCCAGAAATAATGCACAGCATGGAGGAAATGCTTAATTTTAGCAATTTTCAAATCATGTCTTTCCTAGGTAGCAGCACTTTGTGACTTACCCCTTGTAAGACTTGAAAGCTGTCATTGTTAGGTGGTGGGTCTTGATCTGGGTCAACACCAACTCTATAAACATCACCAGGAAATAAGACAAGGAGAAAAACAGAAAACATTAGCTTGGATCATGGCAGCCTTGCTTGCTTAGTCAGTGAATATCTTCCCAAAGCAGAAGAAGTGGTTAGCTTTAAGGAGAGAAATGCCATCATGCACAAGTCAGGTCCACACCACAGCAGATCCCACAGAGTTGCATGTTATAAGTACTCATGCCCTTAGCAAGGCTTCTGGGAAATATGCTGGCAGCTTTCCACCTGCCTTCCTGTACCAAGAAGTCCCCATTACTAAACCATGGGTCTCTTCTGCTTGGCTGCTTCCTCACTTCTGCCCTGAAATGCTTTGGTGCACACAGTATTTTGTTATGAAATTAGTAGGATATACAAAGAAGCATAAGAGGAATCTGTAGTAAACACCTGCATGGCTACCAAGACAGTCTACCATTAACATTTACTATAGCTTCTTTATTACTATCTTCTCATCTCTCCATCCCACATCTTATTTCATGATACATTCCTTCTGACTTCTTGTGTATATATGTGTGCGCTTGCCTGCACACATCTGCGTATGCTTGCACGTGTGCTTATATGTCCCACCCAACACAAACATGGGTTTGTATTTGTGTTGGGTGGGACAGAGGGCAGACTTGGGTGTCGTTCTTCAGAAGCCATCCACATTGTTTTTTTGAGACCGAAACTCTCATTTGGCCTAGAGATCACTGATTAGGTTATGTTGGCTGGCCTCCAAGCCCAAGAGATCTGCCTATCTCCCCCATGCTGGGATTATAAATATGCACCACCATATCTAGTTTTTGACATAGGTTCTGGAGATTAAACTCGGGTCTTTATGCTTGAACAGCAAACACTTCACTGACAGCCATCTCCCTAGCCTCCCTTCCCCTGACTTCTTAGGATGCATAATGATGGAATCTTTCCTTTACCAAACTGAAGTCAGGTTTCTTTGAATCATCTTCCCAACTAGTACCTAGCTTTTGGGCTTCTTCCTTTTGCATTACCAAGTTTTATAAAGAATCTTTCAAAGCTGGTTTAGCCAGAACTCCCACCTTTGATAGTCGATCCCCCTGACAGTTCCCAAGTCATATCTGATCTCCATGGCCTGCCTTTAGCAAGAAAACTCCCTTAACTCTGGTAGTTCCTCTCAGCAAGTTTCATTCATTATTCCCTATTACTCTCTCCTGTTGCAGAAATGCACCACAGTAGAATCTATATCAGTCATTTTGATCCTCACTAAATCCTGCCCTTGCATTTTCAATAAGTATCACATCCAGTCATTAACTGGACTCCTGGTGTACTTTTAGTCCTGTGTTCCCACATCTACCTTATCAAAGATGAGTAGAGAACCCACATATTTGAGAGAACTTACATATTTGAGAGCAACTGAAGATAACAGAAAAGGGCCAAGGGGCAAAAATTCACTTAAAATAAATTTTTGAGACACACTAGGACAGTTGTCCTAGCTTTGCCATATGCTACCTATTGCTGCATATATCTGTTATGTTATTGTATCTATATCTTCCCCATTCTTAATTGTGATACAAATAACATAGATAACATGGAGCGATGGGAGAGAAAATAGAACACCAGGAAAATTCTGTATTCCTTTCAATCTTCCAATATCTCAATACTTGGACAGCATCATAAAATGTAATAGAGCATCAAGCTTTCATCATATCAGGTGTTGTTATAAGCTTGAAGAGAGTTCAGTACAAGGATATTATAGTCTGGCAAGCAGAAAATGGACTAGATGTACAAAACCCAAAGTACAAATTTATTTTTCTTCTTTTTCCTCCCCATTACCTGTAACATCTGGGATATTTCTAGAGAAAAGAGAATACATAGAAGTAAGAGGTAAATGATAGCACAGATATACTCCACTTCTCAGCATCAACCCCTATTTTGTCCTTTCTCAAGCTTGTTGACCACCACCCCAAGGTGTATACCTGTGGGGAGGGGATAGAAGAAAAGGAAGCAGCCATCTCATTTTGTGTTGGAGGCAAAGTTTTTAGCCACAAGATAGAATTCACATATACAGTATATACTTACATGCAGGGCCAGGCAGTGTTCTAGACACTTAAAAAAAATTCTGTACTGGACCAGGCACCAGATTCTTCACTGTGGGCCTGGGGCCAAATGGAAAAATATGGTGGCAAAAAGAGTACTTACTGATAACGTTTTAAGTGCATAAAGAAAGTGGCACTTTGATACTAGAGAGACATATGATCAGTAGTCTAGACTAACTAAGTGATCAAATGGAATATCACCGATAAATGGACATCTTGACAACATGTACCACCTAGGAGGATGCAACAAAAAACATGTGGCAATACTTTTGCAGTAGTTTTGACAAAAATGTTTGTTTTCCTCTGTACATAATCAAATACCAAAAATCCTAATTGTAGACATTGTGTTAAGTAACTATCCCGAATACTTAAAAATCAATGTTATAAGAAACCTTGAAAAGTGAGTGAATTGGTGAAAGAGAGTAAACAGAAATAAGCAATGACATTTGTTGGATCCTGTGCATGTAAAATTCATGTTACTTTTCTCAGGAGTGATTACATGGGAGACTGGACTCTAGAAGCATTTAAGAGTGGACTCAGGACATCTGACTCTGAATTTTAAAAGTGACAAATGTTAGTTAACTGCTGAGTGCAAGTTAGTACCTGGGCATTTGCTGCTCCATTCTTTACTTTTTGTGGAAAAACTTTAAATCACAGTTAGGAATACCTAATTATACTTTTGGTAAACATGTTTCAAAAACACATCAGTCTATTTTCCTATCTCTAATTAACAGATTAATACTGACAATTTATAAGCTCATTTCATTTCAGGGTCTGAAAACCGCAAACTGTAAATATTCATCACACAGTGTACTAGAATTGGTAATTATAGGCAATGGGCAAATAAAGATTTTCACAATCATGCAAAATTTTCTTCTTGATAATTTCAGAAATGTGTTTTGCTGAAATTCTCTTTCTCCAAAAAGTAATGGGCATGAAGAAAGTCTTGAGTTGACTCAGGCACGGTTAGTGAAGTGCTAAGAAACACAGCAATGTTCAGATCTGGTTGTGTCACTCCCTGGAGACTTGAAGCTCTGGAAATAGTCCTGCTCAACACCCGCTTTCCGATCAGTCTTTTGTGTGGAAGGTCCAATCTTCACTGGGCCACTTGCTATCAATCACATGTCTGAGAGCCTAAGGGAACTAACTGCCTTACCATCCCAGACAGACTTAAAGGGTCTCATGGTGGCACCAACTACTGATATAAAGAACTAAGATAGGAGATTCAAGAAGGGATATAAATGCTTGCTTTCCAGCTTGCCATGGCTTTATAAATGATGCCTCAGAAGACAGACAGGGGCCGCGTGGACACAAAGGTTATTCTGTAATTTTTTTTTCCATCTGAGGCCATTTATGTTAGAGTGATTTAATAATTACTTTTCTGGCATTTGGAGGGACCCTTGGACCAATCCCCAAGGATGACACACAGTACACTGGGATTCCTATAAAGGGCTCCACCCTTGGGGCACAGGCCTGAACCAAACTGGTCTTTGTGAACAAGAGTAAAGCAATGGGCCAGACTTTTGGAATGGCGCTAAACAGCAAGAAAGACCAGACACAGGCTTTTGATTGCAGACTCAGAGCACCATAAGATGTAGCTTTCTCAAATTCATTGTTTTGGCAACTGTTTATAATGTATTTGTCTCCTGATTGTTACAACATCTGGGATGTTACAGAAACCTGGAATTTTATTATATCACATTTCAGCATTCAGGTACATCTAGGGGGATGTATCTGCAACAGACACAGCAGTCTTTTCTTCTAGAATGAACTAAATTATCTTTAGTTTCATTGAGAATGAGACAAATGTGGGAATTTTATACCAAAGGAAAACACAAAGAAGTCAAATAGACGTGTTTTTTCTGGAACAGATAAATACTCCAAAATTAATAACTTTCATTCTAGAACAATAACTTGTCTACTATAATGAATAAAATGCTGTGAAATCTCAGAAAAAGTAGAAGCTTTCTATTTTAACCAATACTTTTTTGGGTAGTACCGGGAAGTAAATCCAGAGCCTCAAGTATATTAAACATGAATTTTACCACCGATACATACCTCTAGATATCAATAACATAAATAATCAAGGTTCTGGATAATTTAAGGAATATGAGACATGAATCTTCATGTAAATCTTGAGCATCTGATTATAATATAAACTCTTGTACCTCAAGTGTAATGACTTAATACTGGCCTAAAAGACCCTATTCTTTGAAGGCAGAACAGTTCAGTAGAAAGGATTCTTCTGCAACTTCACTAGTAAATGTGCATCATAAGCACACATTGCAACAGTAATAAGCAGCTCAAACTCTGTGAGATATTTCAACACTTCCATGAATTTCATGCATACCATTACAGCACATATCTGGTCTGTATTCCAAGACCCATACCATATATATATATATATATATATATATATATATATATATATATATATATATATATAATCTATTTATTTATTTATTTATTTATTTACTTATAATGTTTCCTTCACCCTGTCTTCAGTAAGCAGAATATTTTCACAAAATCTAAGTTCAGGCTGATTTTGTATTGAATGCATCTACAGATAAGACCAGGAAGAAGGCATATCAATTAGAGATCCATAAAGGCAAAAACAAACACAGGAGGTTTTTACTTTGCTCCTATGTCACCACACTTAAACACTATGGCATCACACACAGTTGGATGTAGGTCAAGAAACAAACTGTGTTAGTAGAAACTTCATCCTTTTGTTTCTTAAAAAACAAACAAACCTATGTTCTTCATGTCATCTGAACCATCATGAGAAAGTATAAATATACAAATGCATACTTAAAAAATACAACACACATTTAATTAAGATCACATGAGTTATGCTCTAGTCAAGGCTGAAATATGAAAATTCTAGTTCTCTGTATTAGTTACAATCCTTACTTACTAGATCAGAAGCAGGATTTTCTGGAAAAAATACAGGTAGCTCTGAAAATGAGCTGTCCCTTAACACTAAGCTCAGTTGTACCAAAAGAAGACATTAATTTAGGCTTTGGGGTTGAAAATACATGGTCCAAAATGTGGCAGGAAATCTCATAATCCCAATAACATTGACACACCAATCAACATGGAGGAAGGACAGAAAGAATTTTTAGAACTGATTTCCCTGTTGCCCACTGGGGTGAGAATCAGTGCATTCAGGAAGTAAAAAGCAAAAAAGCATAAAGCGAAATCATTTGAGTTAGACAGAAGAGAAGCAAAAGCCAGTGGATTATTTTCTGAGTAGTCTCCATGTCACCTGAAGTACTGCCAGTAGTGCTCATTCTGGTCCTCTTCAGAGAGCTCCTCCACACCAACTCTGGGCAGCAGAAGAAGGAAATGTGAATGTGATGGGACAACACAGGAACCTGGGATCTCTGGCATCTGACCTGGACCATGCCACCAATAAGGGCTAGCTCTCACCTTTAACAGAAATTCACAGTCCCTTTTTTGGTTAGTACTGGGCATGGAACCCAAAGTCTTGAAAACACTAAGTAAGTTATAACCACGGAGCTGCATAACAATCTTTGGTAGTCCCCATTTTCTAAAACCCAAGAGGCAGAGAGGTTGCTAAAGCAATAATGTTAGAAGCTAGGTCAAATGAGAAAAAATTGAGAGAATGATGTTAAATCTCTCAAAATACAATACAATAAAATCAAATGAATAACTGTACAGTATAGAAATTAATCTACAAAAATTTCTGGAGTTATTCTGTTTCATAAAGAAAAAAACAGATGAACGTAAAAAAACAAAAGTGTTGCTAAACAATGAACATATATTTAGAGTACATGTAAATTTTATAGCTAATTAACAGAGAAAACAAACCCCACAATATTACTGAAAAAAAACAACAATACAGAGAAGACAAAGATGACCATTTTTTTTTTTTTATAGATATACAAACCACATTGTCTACAGCTTTAACCTAAAGGCCAGGAACCCAACCCTGACTCTTCTCTTTCCTTTAAGGTCTCTGGCTTGATGTGACCTGTCACTTTCCTTAATGATTTCTGAATTAATCAGACAATATTATGCTTTACCATCATGCTACAACATGGTTTTGCAAACTCAGCACTACCGACATTTGAATCCACAATAATACTCTGTTAGGGAGCCATTCTCCTCTGCACTGTGGGATGGTTAGTAACATCCTGCCTTCTACTTACAGGATGTCAACAGCAACAACCCCATCTGCTCCGAGTGTAGATCTTTTTGGTTAAAAAAAAAAAAAGGCAGTTGTTTTTTGTTAAAAAGATCTCCAGATATTCACAGATGTCTCCCAGGTGGGGAAAAATTACCCTTAGTTGAGAACACTGTGAGAACACTGTACTAAATCATGTACTCTTAATGGGGTAATGTCATCCCTATGGGTGTGAAAACTGGTTCTTGTGGAACATAGACAAAAACAACCCCATAAAACATACCTTTGATAAGTCTGAAACCATCCAAAACATTATAAAATATAGGGAGCTATAGCAGATCTCTATAAAAATTTTCACTGTAGTTAGTTGGAAAAATTGAGAAATACTGTGATAGACAATGCTCAAATTTTCATTATGCTGTATACCTTGAAAAATGCAAGAGATCATGACTCCTTATGAGGTAACACTGTGGAAAGAAACCAGGGCCTCACACATGCTAGGCAAGCATTCTGCCACAGAGTTGTATCTCATACCCCACAGTACAAGACTTCATCATATTTACTTATAATCACATTTTATCATTGCATTGATTGTTACTTTTTAATTGGTAAGAAAACTTAGAGTCAGGGGTTAAATGACTGGCCCACAGTAAAAAAGGGTAAAATTGATAGAGGTACAATTCCAACATAGAAGTGTAGACTCAGGGACCCTAGTTCTTCCTGTTAAAATACTACTTCTGAACATAATGTTGCATCTTTTAAAATATCAAGTTACAAACACTATTATGTAAAGAGCGTAGGGTTTCTTCTCATCTTTAATCATTAATCTGTCTTGTAGAGAATATTATCATAATTTTTGAGACCAATAGGATTAATACCAGAGTGTTCTTAATTACCTTTGAATGATTGTGTTACTTCTCTGTGGGGTGCAATAATTACTTGGTCATTTGGTTACCTGAATGTGTATCCTTCCACTGCCTCCTTACCTAGTTTTCACTCCCATTTCATGTTTGTACTACAAGAGAACAATCATCATGCCACCACAATGTGTTTGAGATACATAGAATGTTCATCTGTTGAATAATTCTGAAACCCCTCTAAGTTGCCAAAATTACGTCTTTTGTAAATAATAGTACTTAGTCAAGAGACTAAGAAAAATATTTAGTTTGTATATTAACTAAAATATTTGAGCATTTTCCATTGCATTTTCCTTTTTTTAATTATTGTAATTTCATGTATTTATTTATTATAAAAATTTATTCATTTTGTATCTCAGCTGTAGACCCCTGCCTCGTCAACTCTCAGTCCTACCCACCCCCCTCTTCTCCCCCTATGTCCTTTCCATAGTCCACTGATAAGTGAGGTTCTTCTCCCCTTCTATCTGGCCCTAGCCTATAAGGTCTCATGAGGGCTAGCTGCATCATCTTCATCTGTGTGGCCTGGCAAGGCTGCCCCCCCACCCCCAGGGAGAGGTGATCAAAGAGCCAGCTACTGAGGACATGCCAGAGACATCCCCTGCTCTCCTTACTAGGGAACCCACTTGGAAACTGAGCAGCCATGGGCTACGTCTGTGTAGGGGGTCTAGGTCCTCTCCATGCACAGTCCTTGGTTGGAGTATCAGTTGGAGTGTAGGACCCCCTGGGCCCAGATTTTTTGGCTCTGTTGGTCTCCTTGTAGAGCTCCAGTGCTCTCTCATGTCTTTCTATCTCTCCTTTCTTCCATAAGATTCTCTGCACTCTGCCCAGAGTTTGGCTATGAGTCTCAGCATCTGCTTTGATACTCTGATAGGTAGAGTCTTTCAGGTACCTCCTGTGGAAGGTTCCTGTCCTATTCCCTGTCTTCTCCTACTTCCAATGTCTATGCTCTTTGTCCTTCTGGATGAAGATAAGCCTCTTCCCTAGGGTCCTTCTTGTTGTTTGACACATGCTGGAGAGGTCATGGAGAAAGGGAAACCCTCCTCTATTGCTGGTGGGAATGTAAACTTGTACAACCACTTTGGAAATCAATCTCGCACTTTCTCAAACAATTAGGAATAGTACTACCTCAGATCCAGCTACACCACTCCTAGGCATACATCTGAAAGATACTCAACCATACAACAAGGACATTTGTTCATAGCAGCTCTATTCATAATAGCCAGAATCTGGAAACAACCCAGATGTCTCTCAACAGAGGAATGGACACAGAAATTGTGGTACATTTACACAATGGAATACTACTCAGCAATTAATAACAAGAAAACCATAAAATTTGCAGGCAAATGGTGGGAACTAGAAAAGATCATCCTGAGTGAGGTATCCCAGAAGCAGAAAGACACAGATGGTATGTACTCACTTAAAAATGGATAGTAGACCTATAATACAGGGTAATCATACTAAACTCTATAGTCCCATTACATTTTAAAGTATCAACCATAAAACACTAATTTAAAAATATAATTTAGACTTATGGACATAGTATCTTGGCTTTGAAATTGTAGTTATATTCATATTCTTCATAAACATATTGAAGTTACAGCCAGCTAGGCATAATGACACACATGATCAGAGCTAGCTAGGCATGATACACGCCTTTAATCCCAGCATTCTGGAGGCAGAAGCAGGTGGATCTCTTTGAGTCTGAGGCCAGCCTGGTCTACAGAGTGAGTTCCAGGACAGAAAATGCTACATAGAGAGGCACTGTCTTAAAAAAAGGGGGGAAAGAAAGAGAAAAAGAAAGGAAGGAAGGAAGGAAAGAAAGAAAGAAGGGAGAAAGGAAGGAAGGAACACAAGCAGACATAAATCACAGCTAACTTCTTGTTACTTACAGTAGAACCCTGAGACCTGCCTTGGCCCTACTTCTGAGCAGTTTTCTAACCACTCATCAGTAGTTGAAGAAATAAGGAACAAGTAAGAAAGTAAGCCCTGATCCTACTGAGTTCACACAGGGTTCAAAATATCATAATGAATATCCAGAGATTTCTGAGTCAATTTAAAAGAAAAACTGGGTTACAGAATTACTTGAGGTCACTAAGTAGCATCATAAGCCATAAGCCAAGAAAAATCAGTTACTCTCATTACCTAGTTTGGACAGAACTTCTTTTGGTGCAATTTCTGTAAATATCAGTGTCTATACTTAAATAAATATTACTAATAGACATATAGACAATATAGTGATCTAGAACCATATATATATTCCATATATATTTTTTTCAACAACAGTACATGTTGCTTTATTTGAGTGTCTAGATAGAGATAGGAAAAACGAATAGAAATAAAATACAGGAACAGAAATCAGTAAAATGAAAATCAGATAAATGGTGTAGTATAATAAACATATAATAAAAAAAGTAAAAACACTTCTACAAAAACCTAGCAGCTGCCTTTAATCCCAGCACTGGAGAAACAGGGAAAAGGTTCTCTATGAGTTCTGTCAGCCTGGTCTACATAGTGACTTTCAGGACAGCCAGGGCTGAATAATGAGATCCTATGTCAATAATAATAATAATTTTTTAAAAAACCTCCCCTAACAAACCGCTATTAAGTCTAACAAAAAAAGGGGTTTCCAGATAGGGTTTCTCTGTGCAGCCTTGGCTGTCCTGGACTCACTTTGTAGACCAGGCTGGCTTAACTCACAGCAATTCACCTGCCTCTGCTTCCCTGAATGCTGGGAGTAAAGGCACATGCCACCACACCCAGCTAAGACACACATTATTAGGAGTGAAATGTAAAATAACAACAACAACAACAACAATAACAATAATAAAACAGTAGATATCACCGCAGACCCAAAAACATCTAAAGAACAATCAGGGAACACCATGTGTCTTACTTAGGGTTACTATTGCTGTGATTCAACACCATGACTCAAAAGCAAGTTGGGGAGGAAAGGGTTTATTCAGCTTACACTTCCACATTTCTGTTCATCACCAAAGGAAGCCAGGACAGAAAATCAAAGCAGGGAAGAGCCTGGAGGCAGAGCCCATGGAAGGGTACTGCTTACTGGCTTGCTTCCCATGGCTTGCTCAACCTGCTTTCTTACAGAACCCAGGACCATTAACCCAGGGATGGAACAATGGGCTGGGCCATCCCACATCAGACTCTAAGAAAAACCAACAACCTCACATATACATACATGTAGGCAAAACACAAATGCACATTAAAAACATTCCTTATAGTCAGATCTTATGAAGACATTTT